TCCGAACCCAATAAGCTCTCTAATTTGTGTGTAATTCTGGCCACATTATTTTCTAGTTTTATTAGATTAAGTTTTCTGGTATGAACACAAAATCCCCATTTTGAGTATATACACATTAATCTCCATTTTGAGAAAATGATACACATTAATCCCCATCAAATTGGTGAGTATATTAAGTTTAAATTTTCCCTTTTTTTATGAATTGTGTGTAATAATATTATAATATATATATATATATATATTAATTATATATATATATATATATATATATATATATAAACCATTTATTATTTTTAATATACAGTCCACAAATTTATATATTTACCAGCTTTCCGGTGTTTTAAATTTCATTAATAAGGCCCCAGAGCAACTTGGGATATGAAGTGGTAGGTATAAAGGGGGACATTTTTGCGACCTAGGTGTCCCAAATTTCCCACTTGCTATGTAACTCGATAAAAAAATAATTATCTTTGTTACATTTACGTTATGACATAATGAGTTACATTCAATAAAAGCAATTTTCCATAGCAGGCTTTTGGTGTATTTTTTTGGTAGGAACAGAGGCGTGAAGGGGGGGGGGGGGCCCCCGGGGACACATTTAGGGGGGGACACCAGAGAGCTTCTAAAGGTGACACAAGCACAAAAAAAGTCTGCACGAACATAAGAAAGAATCCTTGTTTTTATATATCTATATAGGGAAAACATTGATTTTGATGAGTGATAGATGATTTTGCAGGATTGAAGGCAAGGAAAATGTAAGATCAGATTTACTGAGATGTTACCGGGATAAAGGTCAAATGAAAGATCAGATTCACTGAGAGTTACCTGGACTAAAGGTAAATGTAAGATCAGATTCACTGAGATGTTACCGGATTCAAGGTCAAATTTTAAGATCAGATTCACTGAAGTTCCTGGACTCAAGGTCAAAGTAAGACAGTTTCAGAGATGTTACCGGGACTCAAGTCAAATGTAAAATCAGATTCACTGAGTGTTACCGGGCCAAAAAGGTCAAATGTAAGATCAGATTCACTGAGTGTTACCGGACCAAGGCAAATGTAAGATCAGATTCACAATGTTACCGGGACTAAAGGTAAAATGTAAATCAGATTCACTAAAATGTTACCGGACTCAAGGTAAAAGTAAGATCAGATTCACTGAGATGTTACCTGGACCAAGGTCAAATGTAAGACAGATTCACGAGATTTTTACCGGGATCAAGGTAAAATGTAAGATCAGATTCACGAAAATTTTAAAACCGGCTCAAGGTCAAATGTAAGATAAGACACTGAGATTTTCCCTGGACTCAAGGTCAAATGTAAGTTCAGTTCACTGAGATGTTCCCTGGATAAAGGTCAAATGTAAGATAAATTTACTGAGAGTTACCTGACTAAAGGGTAAAATGGGAACATGTTTCTCTGTATTGCAATGTTTTTTTTTTTCTTTTTTTTGTGGGGGGGGGGGGGGGGGATTGTTGAAGCAATAAAAGTAGATCTTTGCGTACTCAAAGTGATTTTTGATTTAAAAATAATGAGTAAATTGAGTTTCTTAATATTACTACGATTATTTATTTTATCATTAATTTTGAGAATATTCCCTGTTCAGTTTAGGGCCCTTAAACGTTTTCATTCTAAACATTAGTCAGGTCATGCATAGTGAGAAACTATTTACCCCCCCCCCTCCCCCCGCCCGTTTTTTGGGGGGAAACACCCAAGATTCCCCCCCCGGGGTGACCCCAAACCCTAGCGACCCCCGGGTAGGAGACTGTTAGGAAAAAAACCCTTATTTGATGTTTACTTTTTGTATGAATTAAAAACACCCGGGCGTTTGAAGGTACAAAGCGACTGTGAGAAGGCTGTACAATTACATGTACGTAATTTAGAACTGTTTATTGTATACCTGCAGATTAGGGATTGGTTTTTTATAATTTATTCATTATTGAATATAATGTTTTAAATAAAATAAAAATAATAAAATAATCAAACCACACTTTTTAAGGGAGGCCCGGTAAGTCCGGGAAGGGCCCTGGGCAGAGCCAAAAGCTCCAGCTGCGGGTCTTTATGTAAAAAAACACGCGCAGGAAAACTTTCCTTTACCTGACAAATTTTCCCTAACCTAACCCCTCAAAACCCACTTAAACTTGTCTAAATTTAAGCACATATAAGCTACTTTGAAATTTTTTTTGTGATTGAAACTTTGTCAGCGAAAAAAATTTATTATGAAGTTACCATCATGAACTTGTAGGGTTACTACTGTAAATCATCACTTCACAAGATTAAAAAACACATAACTGAGCCAGTCACTGGGCGTAATGTGGCTTCTGAAAAATTTTTGAGTACCTCACATGGTAGGGGTACGTAATGAAGCTGTTTAACTTAAAAAAAATGTCTTTTACTATTTTTAACATTAAAGAGTAGGGAAAAACACACTTACATGAGGCTTCTTTTTTTTCTGACCGCAGCCCGGGGTTAAAAACTAAAACGAAGGGAAAACTGCGAAGCCTAGGCCCATGCGAGGCAGGCCAAATCTCATAAGAAAAAAACGATGGAACACTGCAGAAGGGCCCACTGGCCCTGCGAGCGGCCAAGCTCCCTACCCGGCTTAAGCCAAACACCCCCAAACCCAGTCAGGGCAGGTCAAATTGATTAAGGGGGGAACACGGCAACCGACCCGGTTTCACAAGCATCAGGTCTAACCACACCCCCCCACTTAATCTGTATTTTTCCAAACCCATTTTAAAGCACCAACGTTCTGCCTCTATAACGGGACTTGGGAGTTTTTTCCACTCATCCACAATCTATTACCAAAAAAGTACTTTCCTATATCCTCCTGAATCTGAATTTTTCCAATTTAAAAAAATTGCGCGATCCTGTCTAGGCAAATTTTCAGCACACTATTTTTCTTCCCCTTTATTTATTTCCCGTTTCCTTTATACACCCAATCATATCCCCCTAATTCTACGTCTTTCTGGAGATTCAGTTTAGGCCCTTAGTTTATCCTCATAGGGAAGGTTTTTGATACAGGGAAAAAAACTTTGTCATCCTCCTTTGTATATTTTCCAGAGAATTTATATCTATTCTGTAATACGGTGACCAAAACTGTGCAGCATAATCTAAATGAGGCCTAACCAAGGATGTATAGATTGAAGAACAACCTGAGGACTCCTATTATTTATGCTTCTTGATATGAAGCCAAAGATTCTAATTAGCTTTATTGCGAACACTTATGCACTGTTTGTCTTGGTTTCAGATTACTGCTAACCAGAACTCCTAAATCTTTTTCGCAATCCGTAATATTAAGATCTACATTATTTAGTTTATATGTGGCATGGTTATTGTCCTGTCCAACATTTAGAACTTTGCATTTGTCTATATTAAACTGCATCTGCCACTTCCCCGACCACTGCATCAGTCTATTCAATTTTCCCGGGAGTGCTCGAATGTCCTCGTCAGAAGGGAATTCGACGGCCTATTTTGGTGTCATCGGCAAACTTGCCAATGTCGCTCTTTATGCCCTCATCTATGTCGTTTATGTAGATTGTGAACAGCAGGGGGCCCAACACTGACCCCTGTGGAACACCGCTCGTGACGCTTCCCCACTCTGATTTCTCCCCATTTATGCAAATTCTCTGCTGCCTATTTGTCAACCATGCCTCTATCCAGGAAAATATTTCTCCTATTCCATGTGCCTTAATTTTCCTCAATAGTCTCTGATGTAGGACCCTGTCAAAAGCCTTACTGAAGTCCATATACACAATATCATATTCATTACCGTGATCTACCTCCTCAAATACCTTGTGAAAAAAAAGTTAATAAATTCGTAAGGCAGGAACGCCCCTTTGTAAAACCATGCTGAGATTCGTTGATTAATTTATGCTTTTCAAGGTGGCTACAAACTGCCTCGGCAATTATTGATTCCATAACGTAGGGTATTTTAAGAAAGCCAAATAGTGTGACTTATATCCACTGGGTCCTTTTAAGGTACTCCCCAGGATGCGACCCTCAGCAGCCGACTAACTCGTAGGTATCTATTTACAGCTAAGTAACAGGTTAAGCAGGTGTTAGGAGACTTGTCCATACCTCTTTCTCCGCCCAGTGTTTGACCCAAGTCATTTAGGTTGTCAGCCAAACGATATGCTACTGAGCCAGGAATATACATTCTAAGTTGTACAGGAGAAGTTTTTTCCTATAAAATCGCATTGCAAGCATCAAGTTACGGGAATAGTGTTGATAATTTTAAATTGACATTTGACAATAAAGAGTTTATCCTGATTGTTTCTCACGGATTTTATATATATTTGATTTTTCATTCTTCACAATTTATTCTTTGTCCCTAGTAGAGACAATTCCTCCTTATCCATCCATACGTAACTTGTTTTAAAGTAAAAAATAACACTCCAGATATACAGAACACATCTCCTGCAATATTTTCTCGCAATAAACAGAAGCGCTCATCGTGGAAGATATAATGGACGTATGTACAGAGCATCAGTCAAAATACAATACATATGGTGTAGGTGTGCAGGCCGTGCATGTTGCAGCAAAAAAATAGCATGATTGATATCCTTCCCAGGAGGATTTCTCTTATAAAGAGTCTGGCGAGGCAAACTAGCTCTTATGACCACGTGGCTCAAGGCTCACATATCTGGCAATACTCTTTAAATGGAACAGAGAAACTGGGAACTGTTAAAATCTTGTTGCATACACTTAAAACAATGCTAGATATGTTGATGCGTTAGCTATGGTTATCACATTAATTCTAACATAACCGGAAAATACAATTGATTGGAAACCTTCTGTCAATTCGAGAGTTTACGAGCGTAAAGAATACCCCTTTTAAATAAATTTTTATCTTAAATAATCAAACACGCTTTAGATTTTACAGAAAACACAAAAATCGTTTTGTTGTTCTAGTAGGAATGCGCGTGAGTTCCTATAAATTAAAGTGAAGAGGGGAGAAAGGAGCAAAAATATAGAATGACAAGAGAAACAGTATTGGAACGTCTTAGGAAAACATTAGGGTGGCAGCCATATTATCGGTCCAGCAGGAGTCTGGGTGTACGCCCATCTCACCTTAACAATACATTACACGTGCAATGGAAGAAACTAAGATCATTTATCACATAGATGACGAGGAAACTCCGTATTTAGTGAAAATTCCCAAAGCCCCTGACAAAGTAACGTTATCAGACTTCAAGAATGTACTCAACAGACCAAGTTACAAATTTTTTTTCAAGTCAATGGACGATGATTTTGGGTAAGTTGTAAATGCCGGGGCATAATGGAAGAGGAATATAATGCTAGTAAGGGCAGGGCTAAATAATCGGGACTCCATAACCCAGAATAAGTTTGTTACATAGAGTTTAGGATACTGTGAATGATACGGTCAAGCCATTTAAATGCTCGAATATGCATTATTGTCTTTAGAAACAAACTTGATTATTTCTTAATGTTAATGAAAACGAAAAAATGATTTAGTTTTGTATGTACTTCATGTTGAAACCCATAAGTTTCAATGATTAGGTGGTGACATTCCATTTTATGCCAAGTGATGTTTATTTGTTAATTGAACTTCACCCAAATACTACACAAATGTAGTGTAACCATAGATGACATGTGAGAGATTTAAATAACATGTACACTCAGGAGTGGATGTGCTTACATAATGGATGGTTGTTAATGACAGCTGTCTATTTAACTTTGGCCTACAAGGTTTTGCCATTTAAAAATGGAAGGTATTATGTCTGAGCAGTAACATTTAAAATGGTGTACAGTAATGACAAACTAATAAGTAATAAGGTGCATACAGCATTAGGCATCTTCACTGACGATTTTTTTTTTTTGCCTGTGCTGCAGGCATCATTAGACAAATATAAAGATGAATTACAGTCCTGGACACAGCAGATGAAGTGGAAAGGTAGTTCTGTTGGGTTAGTCAGTCTCTTAAATGGTATCCAAGTATGTAACTGAATTTCAAAGTCACCAGCGTCAGCAGGTTATTAAAAGATATTACAAGGACCCCAGTAGAAATAAGTCACTTAGTCTAAAGTTGCTGGGTTATCCTAGGTAATTTACACATGTTATTCAAGATATTTGTAATCACTAAATTTGTGTAACTGTACTTATGTATACCTGTACCTAAATTAACTTATTTCCTCACAAGTTTGGTGACTTGGTCAAATATATTGACACATTATCCAACAACACAAATGCTGTAATTTATTAATGTTGTCCTTATACTGATTTGCTACTTCTGTACACTAATACTGTATGAGTTTTTGTCTATTTTTCATGATGAAATGTTTTGTCTTAAGCAACATTGAAATATTTGCAGAATGTTAATGTATGTAGTCAATATTTATGCTCCCAGTAATATTGTAAATATGTCAGTTTTAATTGCTGTTTAATATATTATCCATGGCACGTGTAATGAACATGCCATTTTTAATACTTGTCATTGTTAAACTAACATTAAATGTTAAACTAACATTAAAGTAACCTACACTTTTTAATAATAGCTGTGTTACGCGTGTGTGTTCTGTTGCAGCTGTCAAGGACTCAGACTACTGTGCCTACTATATATATAGTAGACACAGTAGTATGAGTTCATATTTTGTATATTAGTAAGTTCAAGCTTTTGAAAAGTGGAAGATTGTGTTGTCTGGCACTGGAATGGGTGGTGGTCTGTACAGCGGCTTTTAGTTGAGTTATTAATGGTTTTAGGTGATTTGGTGTAGTAGATCTCCTGACACAAATACTGTAGGTGAGGTAAGGATTGATTAGATTGTAGTACAATGGAAGTACATATGTAGTGTTGTTTGGGGTACACAGTACTATATCTTGGAGAGGATGCCTACTGTTTTGGAGATCTTGTTTATATGTTGGGTGTGGGTATTAAATTTCAAGTTGGTCAAGCTGGTGGCCTAAGAATTTACCCTCAGTGTGTTTTACAGTTGGAGAACCATTGATCATTATGTTTGGAAACAGAGCTTCAAAAATCCAACTGAAAATCATGTGTGGCTTTGTTAATATTGAGGGTGAATTTGTTGGTAGTCATCCACTTGGATATTTTTAGGAACACATCATTAACAGTGCTACTGAGAGAAGTTGCGTTTGAGTGGGAGATGACAATAGTCGTCATCTGTGAACAGAACAGATTCAAGATGAGATGAGGTGCCTTGGGGAGATCATTGATGCATATGAGGAAGAGCAAAGGGCCAAGAGCACTGCCTTGGGACACTCATACATTGACAGGCTGAGTTGATGAGGTTATGCTGTGGGTGGAATCATACTGGTGTCTATTGCTAAGATAAGACTTTAGGTATGCAAGGGTTTGACCTCTGACCCCATAATGTGGGTTACTTGACTGCACTGCCCATATGGTCTGTGTATGGTTAACTTAACATAAAAGCATAATACATGAATAGATGGGTAATAGTATGAGATACTGACATTATGGTAAGGAGAAGATTGCAGTTACTTTTTTTTTTTTTTTTTTTTCTTTTTTTCTCTTAACACCAGCTGCCTTCCACTGGGGCAGGATGACCTGAGAAATAAGAAACAACAGTTTTTTCTTCTTTTTGCATTTAGTAATTTATACAGGAATAAGGGTTACTAGCCCCTTGGATTGCAGTTATATAGATCCTTAATTGATGTTTTCTCCATGCAGTGGGCTTTTATCAAGTTGCAAACAGATCTGTTTTTTGGCAATGAAGCCCACTCAAAACATCATTAGTAAAGTTTATATAAAAATTTTCTTCAGTGACACTGTTTGCACAGTAGTTTGGGTACATATATAGTTTAGATGCTTGTGTGAGTTGATTGATAATTTTTTTAAATGTTTAATATTATTTGGGTTTTATCAACGATATAATTTAATTCTGTGGAAATAGTAAGAAACAGGGAAGCATTGGTTGGTAATAGTCATGTTTGAGTGGAACACACTTCCAAGTAGTATTGTTGAAGCAAAAACCTTGTATAGTTTTAAAAATAGGTTAGACAAATGCTTGAATGGGTGTGGGTGGGTGTGACTTGGGCCTGCCTAGCACGGGTCATTAGGCCTGCTGCAGCATTCCTTATGTTATTTGAGTAAGACTTAGGATGGGCCAGTAGGTCTACTGCAGTTCTCCACTAGTCGTATGCCATATAATGGTTGGGTGAGTAGAATCTGCCTAGCATGGACAAGTAGGTCTACTCCAGTTCTCCTATACCTTTATCAACTGTCACATTTTCACTTATTTTTTTCTTTACTTTTGGTTAAAATATATTTTGAATTAAAATAATTTTATCCCTTTTTAAGTTTCTCTAACAACTTATCCTTGAGATGTATAAAAAATTAATTTTTTTTAGCAAAATATTGGGGGGAGGGGGGTGTCAGGCTATAGTCCAGTATATACCTATAGTAAATTTCAATTACAGGTACATTAATTACTTTCACATACGGTTTTATAAGCATGATTTATTTGAGTTGAAATTTTCAGTGGTGCAACAGCCACTGAGAGGATTAAGAATTACAAGCATTTATAGTGTTGATTGCCCATTCTCTTTTGACCACTCGTTCCATGGCCATACTTTTGATATAACACCATATCTTTAAGATTATTATTTTATAGAATATTACTGTGCATTATTTACACAATTTTCATGTTTTGTAAAAATAATTTATAACTTTCCACTTCTAATTTTTGGCCCTTTGACAATCTCCATTCTGTAGTCCAATTCCTTATCTCAGTAAATTTTAAAAGAGTCACTTAGCTGGCCGACATAAAAGTTATACAGTAGACCATTATATTACACAGTAGTTACGTTCCTGAAAATGCCTTGTTAGATAAACTGAAGAACTCATGGGAAAAATAGGGTTACATTCCTGGGAGCCCCCAAAAAGCCAAACAACTTTTTTAGACCAACAGGTCTTACAAAAATAAAGGTAAATATGTAATTGTAGTTCATTGTTGTGATATATTATGTTTTTACTGCTTAAGTCTACAAATGCAACAGAAATAATAGTATATCTTACCTTAAATTGTGGGTACTGGTGTTTGTGGATGATTGTGAAGAGAGTGGAGATCCACGTTTTGGCCCTACTGGGCTGAGGTGGATGGTTGTTGGTTGTCAGCAGAAGTGGATGGTAGAGGTTCTGGTACTAAAGTCGATGGTTGTATTGGAGTGTCCACAAATTCTGTAATGGATCTCTGGGCTCTTTTACCCTGCAGAACATTGTACAGCTGATAGTGAGGCATCACAGCTGGTCTTGACCCTGTTTCAAAGCACTGCTTCTAGATTTGTCAGGGTCCTCTTCAGTGAAAAAGGCTGCTAGTTTAGCAGCGACATGGAACTGATTATGTAACTGCTGCAATGTTAACCATTTTTCTTCAGGTTCTTCTTCATTTTCTTCTGTTATGTGGCTCCTTTGTATCTGCACTGAGCTCTGCCAACATTTCCTATGCACTCCTGTCTTCATCATCATTTTCTAAGAGCTCATTCACATCTTCATTCATATCTTCAAAACCATCCCTGGTAATCTCCTTGCCAGCTGAACAATTTCCTAAACCTGACTCTCAAGCAAGGGAAAACCAGTGACTGGTAAGGTGTTTTTATCTACACCTTTCAAAGTATGAGGATTCTTAGAGCCGTAAACAACCATGGGCTCACACTTGAAATCACCTGACGCATTATCGCAAAGGAGCAAGGCGAAGTGATCCTTTGCTGTCTTGAAGCCCGGTGCACTTTTCTCTTGCTGACTGATATTACCTGGAGTTTACCTGGAGAGAGTTCCGGGGGTCAATGCCCCCGCGGCCCAGTCTGTGACCGGGCATGTGTGGACGTTTTCTTCCAAAAAACAATTGTTTCATCAGCATTCGACACTTGATGTGGCTCATAGCCACCCTCGGAAATAATTTCCTGCAGTTCAGCAGGGAAATTACTTGCTGCTCTATGATCAGCTGAAGTACTTTCACCAGAAAACTTAGTATTATGTAACTTATTACACAGCTTAAAGTTGTGGAACCAGCCTGTGCTAAACATACACTCTTTTTCAGGCCTGCCTTCCTTCCTTATCACACACTGCTTTAAACAACTGTAAGGTCTTTAACCTAATTAAGATGAAATTAAGTGGTGTACGTTTCTTTGTTTTTTGTTCGATCCACTCAAGTAACAAGTTTTCAGTTTTATTTACTTTTTGTGACCTATATGTCATTCTTTTCATGAGATGGCATCCTGGGTTATTCATTGCACAAGCTCGTATATTCACCTCATTATTTTTAATTGTACGAACTGACACTTCACTAAGGCCATAGGCCCTCACTATATCCATCACAAGTGAGCCACTCTTAAGCTTGTCTAATATCTTGATTTTCTTTGTAACTCCTAGACTTAAATGCTTAAACCTTTCTTGCCACTTTCAGCAACACTTGTATGCCTACTGGATGCCATGATTGCTTGGCAGATACAAGGTATGGCAATTAAGAGATCTAAACTCAATCCACAAACATAATAAACACAGCTAACTCCTAGCTGTGTTGGGGAAGTATCCCTCGGGCGATGCTCCAAATTTTTTCCCCTCCTGCAAACTGAACCATGTTAAGTTAATTTTACGAAGTGTTGTATAAAATTGGACTGCAATTTTTCAATAGTGCAATAACCAAAACGTGCCAAATAAAACTGTTATATAACGGTCTACTGGTTTTCTCCTTTGCCACTCATGTCTCTGAGGTTTAGAGCAGGAGTTAGTTTGTGATATTTGAAATTCAGAACAAAACCCTTTGCATCACTTATGTTTCTGGGTTATATCCATCTCTCAAAAGTTTTGGGAAGAGTAATTCTGTATTTCTAATACCTTGGCAAAAAATATGTTGTCTTGTAAAGGTGTGTTTTTCATTTTGTTTTCAGAGTAGTCAAAGAAGAAATAATAGATGACGATGCACCGCTTCCATGTTTCAATGGCAGAGTAGTTTCTTGGGTGAGTATCAGTGCTACAATTGTTTAGTAGATAAGATCTTCATTAATACATTTTTTTTTTTTGGAGAGCCATGATATTATGTTTTCTTAAATTTCTGTTCCTTAATTGTTGACACTTTGTCCTATACAATATGCAGTACATTTACAGTATATGCATTGCATGAAGGTTTTCCTAATTCCCTATCATTGAAAGTAGCTACATTTTACACTGCAGCATGTTTAAAAAAATGACTATAGTAATTAGTTTTATTATAAGATTTTCTATAATGAAAATAGCCTCAGCAGTGCTTGAATGTGTGTTGAGGAAGAACAAAGCTTGCCTCCTGGCAGTGAGAGCTCCTCATGCATGGGATTTTCTGTTGGCTGTCTCCAGTTCCTCTCTTGTCACTTGACTTGACCCACAGACCCTCCACATTGGTATGTCCTTTGCTACCCCTATACTCATCAAACACAGGTGTATCTGCAGCACCGCATTGGTAAACCAGTTTGGGTACCATGGTATTGTTTGTCATAGATTTGAGGGAAAGAATGTAGGACATGAAGAGGTTAACATCATTTTCAAGCAGAGCCTTGCAACAGCTGGATGCTCAGCAATAAGGGAGCCAGCCCAGTTATGCATATGCAATGGCAACCAAAAACACCCTGATGGAGTTACATGTCAAGCCTGGACAGATGACAAGCAGGTGTACATCCACATTTGCTGATACCTGTCTGTAATACAGCTGGGGGGAAGGGAGGGGCGACTGCCAACTTTGAGTTGAAGATATCTAGAAAATATGAGGAACTCTCCCATCATTGTTTGTTCCCATAGGTTCAGAGACCTTTGGCCTGTGGGGAAAGAACACATCGATGTTTCTTAAGGAGCTGGTTAGAAGTTTCATCAGGGCAACTAAGGATTCCAGGGCAGCTAGTTTTCTGCTCCATTGGCTCAGTGCTGCAGTTCAGAAGGGGTAATGCCTGTTATATCCTGTGTATGCGCCCCAACCCTGAGGAGCTGAATGAGATATTCGTAATGTAATTTTTGATAAACACTTGTATTTGTAGTGTCCCTCAAACCTCATGTTTTGTATACCCCATCTGAAATTTGTGTTCTAGTTCATTTACAATACAAATCACAGAAAGAGTGGGGCTTGAACCCATGGCAGGTGAGTCCTAAAATTTAATGCATTAAAGTTTGAAGCACTAATAGTTCTAAAGCCTTGTTAAAAAAAATTGTAATGAGCTGTATAATAAAAATTAAATGATATATTAAAGAAATGTATCAGCTCTTAAATTATAAAAGAAAACTGTGGGTATGTTTAGTCTTATGAACCATTATCAAGCCATGAGTGAGTGTAAAAGCCAGAGATTGTTGGATTAACTGGAGGTGAGATGGTAGGGGTTGCAAAACACTATTTGAAATATCACTTCAGGTCACATGTTTTAATGATTAGAACATTTGATGTACAGTGGAACTTCATTTTTTTTTTCTTTTTTTCCCAGTTTTCGTTATCTTGGTTTTTGTCGAGTTGACAGTGGTCCACCATACCAAACGTGTCCGCCCGCACCCACACAGAGCATCCCATGCGTTCTGAGTCAGTCTGGCTTTGTTGCTCGTTGGTAGAGGGTGGTAATGATGGTGGTAGTGATGGTGGTAGAGATAGTGGTAGAGATAACCTCTCCTCCCTCTCCCCTTCTCGCCATCTTCCATACGCCAACAAGAGTCTTCAATACACTGTAAATGTAAAAGTGATGTTAAATGTTCATTTATCCATTTCATTAGAGCTTTATATTTATTTCTTATTGTTTTCTGTATGTAAAACTATAGTTATTCTCTATACAATACATTTTTGGTTAATAATTTTGGGTGTCTGGAACGGATTAATTGGATTTACATTTCTTATGGGAAATACTATTGCTTCAGTTTTCGTCGAATTCAGTTTTCATCAGACTTTCTGGAACGAATTAATGACGAAAACCGAGATTCCACTGTAGTACGTACTTAGAGAGGTGAGCATAAAGGAACAAAACCAGGACCTAAGATTCTTATTAGGAATGTTGTGCACGAGAGTTCATTGAGGCTGTAATGACTTGATATCCCTTCGATGAGATTTGAGAACTTTTCTACTCCTGGAGCCTAACTTTGTGCCAGATGACTTTGGATGAAGACCAGCCTTTAGTATGGATATAATCATTAGCATGATAAAATGAGCATTGTTAGTGTTAGCAAGGAAAGCAGGAGGAACAGGTAATAAAGTAAACTGAAATATTGGGGGCAGGGGGAAAAGTATAAGAGATGTAGATGTACCAGATTGCTTGGAAGTGTATTAGTGTAATTGCTTAGTAAGAATTTTAACTATAAACAAAGGGTATCCATTAATCTCAGCCCTCTTGTACCTTGATTTGGTTAGGCATTTTTGTCATGTACCCTCTTTTGATCTTGCTCTGTTTTTGTCCTTTCTTTCTGAATTACTAGTCTTCCAGTAGTTTCTGGTTCTCAATAATTTTGCTCTCTCATAAACTAGTAGTCTAATACTCTAAACTAATAATCTAGTACTCTAACTATTACTTGAATTGGTAACAAAATTGAATGGGAATAACTCTACTTCATTTCTTTAAGTTAATGTTCTGACTGCTCCAACTTTTTTTGTGTTGAGAGCAAGCATGTACTGTACACAGTTGCAGACTGTACATTTATTATTTATTCTATCATCCACAATCTGTTAACATTACTCTATCCTTTCTGTATCATTGAATCTCAGCTTTTGGAGCTTTGAAATTTCTCTTCTGCAATGCTTTCTCTCTGCTGTTTCCTGATCTTATAAATTATAAACCCAGCCTGTTCTCACGCTAAAATTTTTTTTTCTTTTTATACATAATCCTATAATAAAATATGTTCTTTCCCTTTCTTATTTTTTGACTTAGGGTTCTCAGTTATACTTATTTTGACTGTTGATATTAAAACTTTTATTTCTGCAAACTAAAATATGCTGAAGTAACCTTGTAAATATTTGTTAGTCACTTTGTCTACTCTTTATTTCCTGCTCCTCATATTGCCATCCTCATATAGTATATTAGTAAAGCTAATCACTTCCTGTCAGACTAAAATAAAATTATTTGTCTTGCTAACACAACACTGTAATGGAAGGGATAATAATCACTTATGCTAGTCCTCTTCTAAAATTGTCTTTCCCTCATAGTCTGTATAAATCTTAGTTATTTGGCAATTCATACACATCCTTAACATGAGTTTAGGTCTGGTTTTGTTTCTCTAGATTATTACCTAACCTAGTACATTGTCAAATGCTTTAATCCTCAGAAAAAGCATGACTGGCCAGACTTTTCTGTCTTCGGGTGTATTATCAACTCTGTCGTCTCCTCACCTTCCAATGACCTGCCACGACATTTGACATCTGGGTTTTTACACTTCCCATGCTCATCCTCTCAGGCAACTTGATAATGGCCTAGGAAGGACCAAAATGCCAGTTTTCTGTTATCTGTGGGCTATTCATAAAAGAAGAGAAAAATCAACAGACCAGGTACTTAATTTAAAGGGGATGTTTTATTGAGTTTAGGCAGTGGTCGTTAAAAAAACGAAAACAATATTTTAGTTGATATTAGGCGGATTTTGATTGCTGCTGGCAAACTGTTCTGTACTTGGGGCCCCTTGCTATTGTCTGCCTATTTGATTCTGGAAATCATTGCTCTTGTGGTCTAGTTTGAGTAGGTCTTTTGATTGACTGCCTGGCCAGTCAAGCCATTGCTGTTTGCAAAATGCAGTACCATGGTTACCTGTGGGAGTGACAGTTCTTTTCTGTGGCTGCACACATTAAAGGCCAACTTGGTTCTGTTTTATTTTCTCATTCTTAACATTTCCATTTCAATAAATACATAGAGTATGTGGTTTTCTGAGGTTTCTGCTTTACTGTATTATTCTTTTGTACCTTTGTCATGTAATTTTTTCTCAAAATATGTCACCGTATTTTTTGGTTGATGGAGGATGTCTTCATTATTTCATGTTCTTAGTTTGACATTTAACCCTTTGACTGTTTCGGCTGTATATATATGTCTTACGAGCCAGTGTTTCGGACATGTATATACTCAATAATTCTAGCGGCTTCAAATCAAGCCCACATGTGACAGAATGGGTCTGTGTGGTCAGTGTGCACTGTATAAAAAAATCATGCAGCACGCAGTGCATAATGAGAAAAAAATAAATCCAACCGTGTTTTGGATTAAAATGCCAACTTTGAGGTGTATTTTTGTATGGTATTTATGGTTGTATTTTTGTTTTCTTGGTTTCATTTGATAGAATGGAAAATATATTACAGATGATTGATGATTTTGATTAGTTTCACTGTGTAAACGACCTTGAAATTTAGCTCAAAGTAGCGGAAATGTTCAATTTTTACCAGTGTTCAAGAGTAAGCAGATCACACCACACGTCCAATACACGTCAACTGGGGAGTCTAATATTCTTTCACTAGTGCACTGATATTATTTATGCCATTTTTACAGTAATGCAGTAGTCTGCATAGCAGAAAATCTTCTATTTTTTGTGTGAATAAAAAATAAAATAGAAAGCACGAGTAATATAAGAGGGGCCTGGAGATGTGACTAATGAACAGAAGATATGTTATTTTAGTGCCAAGAATGTCTGCACTGTTTATTCTGGATCCTATTTTGAAATTGGCAACTTTTTTAACTCTTTCAGGGTTGGTGCCGTACTAGTACGGCTTGCACGCTAGGGTTGGTGCCGTACTAGTATGCATAAATTCTAGCACCTTCAGATCTAGCGAGAGAAAGCTGGTAGGCCTACATATGAAAGAATGGGTCAATGTGGTCTGTTTGCACAGTATAAAAAAAATCCTGCAGCACAGTGCATAATGAGAAAAAAAAACTCTGATTGTGTTTTTGCTTTAAAACAGCGACTTTGTAGTGTATTTTCGTATGTTATTTATGGTTGTATTCTAGTTTTCCTGGTCTCATTGTATAGAATGGAAGACATATTACGGAAATTGAGATGATTTTGATTGGTTTCACAATGAAAAGTACCTTGAAATTGAGCTCAAAGTAGCAGAAATGTTTGATTTTTGCCAAAGTTCAAAAGTAAACAAATCATTCCACGCGTTCAGTACACGTCAACTGGTGAGTCTAATATTCTTTCACAAGTGCACTGATATTATTTATACCATTTCTACACTAATGCAGTACTCTGCATAACAGTAAATCTTCTATTTTTTTTGTGAGAATAAAAATTCAAAGTGGAAACCAAAAGAAATATAAGAGAGCCCTGGGGGTGTGACTAATGAACAGAGAAAATGTTATTTTAGTGCCAGGAATGTCTGTCTTGTTTATTCTGGACCCTGGAAATTGGCATCTATCGAAATTTGTGTGAAATTGTCAAAATTGCCAATTTCTGACCACTTTATTGGATAGTTGAAATCGGTAAATTGGTGGTTTCTTGTACTCATTCGATAGAAAAAATGGAGTTCTAGCGAAATAGTTATGACTTTTGTCGACTGGTACATTGGAATTGGCCGAAAATAAGGCTCAAAGTTGGCAAAATTGCCAGTGTGTAAAAATCTTCGAGACTACTAACTTTGCGAGAGCATAATTCCATAAGTTTTCCACCAAATTTCATACTTTTGGTGTCATTATGATCGGGGACGGATTCTTTATCATTTCAAATTTTTTTTTGAAAAATTTCCAATCCTGAGAACAAGTTTAGGAGAGGGCCTGCTGATCCTGAAAAGGTTAATTTGCATGAAATTGGCCAAATTGCCAATTTCTGACCTCTTTATTGGGTAGTTGAAATTGGTAAATGGGCGGTTTCTTGTACTCAATTGATAGAAAAAATGGAGTTCTGAAGAAATAGCTATGAGTTTGGTCGACTCGAACAATGGAATTGGAGTTGATGAAATCACCGATGCGTATATATCGCCGAGATCACTAACTTCGCGGGAGCGTAATTCCGTAAGTTTTCGATCAAATTTCGTACTTTGGTGTCATTAGCATCGGGAAAAGATTATCATTTCATAATAAAAAATATATTTTTTTTTTTCCAAAAATTTTGAGACATAGAATGACGTTTCAGAAATGGGCTTGCGACAGTCGAAGGGTTAAAGTGGTTGTAAATCGTATGCTCAGCTGCCTCACTTTTAAAAAAATGAGAAGTTACTAGGTGAACAAGATATCAAAGATGTAGACAGATGTAAAAGTTATTAAAACTACATTTCCAATCACTTCTTCCCTTCCATTCATAATTTGTACCATGAAGTTGGTGGTTTTTTCTGCTTTTTCTTGAAATCTACCTCTTGTTCTCAATTACAGTATGAAGACAAAGGCATTGAAAAACAAAGTTTTCATTGGGAGAATGTTTTACTCATTGTAAAGATTTAAGTCATTACTTGACAAAGCTCTACACACAGCAAAATATTCTCAAAAGTTTGTCATTGGGTTTCCTACTTGTTGGTTATATGTCATTTCATCTACTTCAGCTTACAGCCTTTGGCTGATATTCCTCAAGAGTAAATAAAATGTGATAACCTAAAGTTTTTGTATAGTATTTTTAATGTCTTGTAAATACAGTATGCACAACTTTGCATAATTTTGTGATCAGCCTAGTGAGCTCTCTACCGTGTGTTGGCTTTCAAGTCTGGAAATGGGTAGAGATTGCAGGTCTCTGTCTCTGTTACCCTTATTCACTAGGCAGTAATTAGGAACTGTACTGGGTTAGTCTACTTTTGGTTACATCATGAGGAATGGGTAAACACTTGAGTAGAGGCCCACAATAAGGCAATTGTTTCTTCTCCCGTGTATGGGCAATGTGAGTATCCCATTTAGTTTTTTTTGTTATTTAAACAGTTCTGTAATTACATTATGGAGTGTTGAATGCTTTACATCTTGTAATATATGAACAATTGTTATTTAATTTCTTTTGTCACACTTTCAATAAATTATAGTATGCTACTCCTTGTCTAGCAATATGTAGAGGAAACGACATTTTGGCCTGTTAGACTGAAACTTCTAAATTTTTCTGTTCAAATTGTGGGCTAATAGTAAATTGTTCAGCTACTGTGTTGTCACTTTTATTCTAGAAAGATTGCTAAGTTGTTATACTGGAACTATACTGTTTGCTGTGTAAATAATAATGCAGTGTTTTCACTCCATAATTTTTCATTTACAGATTGTATCAGCAGATAGCAGTGTTGTGTCAGATAATGTGTCACAGTGTGCCGAGGTGGAGGGCGGCCGGCCGCCTGCATACCAGTGAGTATACTCAAAGTTATTTTAAATGTGGGAGATTTAACCCTTAAACTGTTTAAATGTAGATGTATGTTTTCACTGCCAGCACTCTGAATATTTTGAAAAAAAAAATTAATTAAAGACTAATTTTGTGTGTTATAAGACCCCCAAAAAAATTTTTAGGACCAGTACTTACCAAGATATAAGACTGTGAAATTGGCGCTGGATGCTCAAATGACGGCAACATCGAGTCCTGCCACTTGCAGAAGTGTTGCCAATATACCTTTTTTTGTCGTTTTTATTTTAATTCATATAATTGTTATGTGCTGATAATTACAATTTATAATAGTTCTTGTGATTTCATAGCCAATCTTTGTTCTGACACTAATATTAGGTACTGAAATAGTACTCAAATAGGTTACAATCACCTGACAGGGTCATTTACTTTTTGTCTTAAGTCATTTTTTTTTTTTATTATCACAGTTTCACAGGTGCCTCAGCAGTGTTTTAGACATGCGCATATACCATGAAACTTTTGAGACAGGTTTTAATAAGTTGTCTAAACTGAACATGACCCTCTTCAGATGCAGGAGTCACATAATAGGCACGCAGGAACGCCTGCTTTATTGTTCCTGTATACATCACAACATATTGTCTGTCCATCATGCGCCTAGTCTTAAACCTATTTGTTCTTACTCTCTGACTGTTGTGTGGTTGTCTGTGAAGTTGTGTGCTGATGTGGTGTGTGTGGTTAGCCTGTGTCTTACTTCTGGCCGTGTTCTCCCTGGTTTTCGTCTTTCTATCTCTCTTGTGTTGTCTTTCTGCTCCTTCTTTTGTCGATCTAACCTTCTCGCCCTTGGCCGTTTTGGTATCCCCTTCCTCCTGTCTAGAGAGTGGCTCATAACCAACAATATTACACGATTGATGCCTGATCCTGATAAGTCAAACATCGTCTTGCCCTGCTGCCATTCATGCATCATCTAAAAGCACATTCCTGAATTTTTGGGTTCCTAGTAATTTACTCTTATAATTCGTCTTATGCTACAGTTGTCAGAGGACGAAGGCACATAGAGATTTACCATAGATAAAATATGAGACAGCCATTTAGTAACAAATGAAGAGTCTGCCCAAATTTACACATGGTTATTATCGAGTTTTGATATTCCTGACAACTTTTGGCCACATCCTTCACTTTCCTCTTAAAAGGAGTGTTATACACATGACATCAGTGAATCCCTATTTTCTAGCTGCGCACTCAATTGAACTGGTGCTCCCACAAGTTAAATAGTTCCAGATTTTTTAAATGCTGCACACCGAGTGTTAAGACCCATTTGATCTACTGATCTCAGCCATTGCCAAGATTGCAATCTCACAACCCTTTTTTTGTCGTTTTTTTTTTAATTCAATAATTGTTAGGTGTAATTACAAATTTTAATGTCTTGTGTTTTCTACCCAATCTTTGTTCTGACACTAATATTGGGTTGAAATAGTACTCAAATACGTAGTCACAATCACACTGACAGGTGTACATTTTCACCTGCCTTGGTCATTTACTTTTTTGTCTTGAAATATTTTTTTTTTTTTATTATCACACCGGCCGATTCCCACCAAGGCAGGGTGGCCGGAAAAAGAAAATTTCACCATCATTCACTCCATCACTGTCTTGCCAGAAGGGTGCTTTACACTACAGTTTTTAAACTGCAACATTAACACCCCTCCTTCAGAGTGCAGGCACTGTACTTCCCATCTCCAGGACTCAAGTCCGGCCTGCCGGTTTCCCTGAATCCCTTCATAAATGTTACTTTGCTCACACTCCAACAGCACGTCAAGTATTAAAAACCATTTGTCTCCATTCACTCCTATCAAACACGCTCACGCATGCCTGCTGGAAGTCCAAGCCCCTCGCACACAATAACCTCCTTTACCCCCTCCTCCAACCCTTCCTAGGCCGACCCCTACCCCGCCTTCCTTCCACTACAGACTGATACACTCTTGAAGTCATTCTGTTTCGCTCCTTCTCTCTACATGTCCGAAACCACTCAACAACCCTTCCTCAGCCCTCTGGACAACAGTTTTGGTAATCCCGCACCTCCTCCTAACTTCCAAACTACGATATTCTCTGCATTATATTACACCACACATTGCCCTCAGACATGACATCTCCACTGCCTCCAGCCTTCTCCTCGCTGCAACATTCATCACCCACGCTTCACACCCATATAAGAGCGTTGGTAAAACTATACTCTCATACATTCCCCTCTTTGCCTCCAAGGACAAAGTTCTTTGTCTCCACAGACTCCTAAGTGCACCACTCACTCTTTTTCCCTCATCAATTCTATGATTCACTCATCTTTCATAGACCCATCCGCTGACACGTCCACTCCCAATATCTGAATACGTTCACCTCCTCCATACTCTCTCCCTCCAATCTGATATTCAATCTTTCATCACCTAATCTTTTTGTTATCCTCATAACCTTACTCTTTCCTGTATTCACTTTAATTTTCTTCTTTTGCACACCCTACCAAATTCATCCACCAATCTCTGCAACTTCTCTTCAGAATCTCCCAAGAGCACAGTGTCATCAGCAAAAGAGCAGCTGTGACAACTCCCACTTTGTGTGTGATTCTTTATCTTTTAACTCCACGCCTCTTGCCAAGACCCTGCATTTACTTCTCTTACACCCCATCTATAAATATATTAAACAACCACGGTGACATCACACATTCCTTGTCTAAGGCCTACTTTTACTGGGAAAAAATTTCCTCTTTCCTACATACTCTAACTTGAGCCTCACTATCCTCGTAAAAAACTCTTCACTGCTTTCAGTAACCTACCTCCTACACCATACACTTGCAACATCTGCCACATTGCCCCCTATCCACCCTGTCATACGCCTTTTCCAAATCCATAAATGCCCAAAGACCTCTTTAGCCTTATCTAAATACTGTTCACTTATATGTTTTCACTGTAAACACCTGGTCCACACACCCCCTACCTTTCCTAAAGCCTCCTTGTTCATCTGCTATCCTATTCTCCGTCTTACTCTTAATTCTTTCAATTATAACTCTACCATACACTTTACCAGGTACACTCAACAGACTTATCCCCCTATAATTTTTGCACTCTCTTTTATCCCCTTTGCCTTTATACAAAGGAACTATGCATGCTCTCTGCCAATCCCTAGGTACCTTACCCTCTTCCATACATTTATTAAATAATTGCACCCAACCACTCCAAAACTATATCCCCACCTGCTTTTAACATTTCTATCTTTATCCCATCAATCCCGGCTGCCTTACCCCCTTTCATTTTACCTACTGCCTCACGAACTTCCCCCACACTCACAACTGCTCTTCCTCACTCCTACAAGATGTTATTCCTCCTTGCCCTATACACGAAATCACAGCTTCCCTATCTTCATCAACATTTAACAATTCCTCAAAATATTCCTTCCATCTTCCCAATACCTCTAACTCTCCATTTAATAACTCTCCTCTCCTATTTTTAACTGACAAATCCATTTGTTCTCTAGGCTTTCTTAACTTGTTAATCTCACTCCAAAACTTTTTCTTATTTTCAACAAAATTTGTTGATAACATCTCACCCACTCTCTCATTTGCTCTCTTTTTACATTGCTTCACCACTCTCTTAACTTCTCTCTTTTTCTCCATATACTCTTCCCTCCTTGCATCACTTCTACTTTGTAAAAAACTTCTCATATGCTAACTTTTTCTCCCTTACTACTCTCTTTACATCATCATTCCACCAATCGCTCCTCTTCCCTCCTGCACCCACTTTCCTGTAACCACAAACTTCTGCTGAACACTCTAACACTACATTTTTAAACCTACCCCATACCTCTTCGACCCCATTGCCTATGCTCTCATTAGCCCATCTATCCTCCAATAGCTGTTTATATCTTACCCTAACTGCCTCCTCTTTTAGTTTATAAACCTTCACCTCTCTCTTCCCTGATGCTTCTATTCTCCTTGTATCCCATCTACCTTTTACTCTCAGTGTAGCTACAACTAGAAAGTGATCTGATATATCTGTGGCCCCTCTATAAACATGTACATCCTGAAGTCTACTCAACAGTCTTTTATCTACCAATACATAATCCAACAAACTACTGTCATTTCGCCCTACATCATATCGTGTATACTTATTTATCCTCTTTTTCTTAAAATATGTATTACCTATAACTAAACCCCTTTCTATACAAAGTTCAATCAAAGGGCTCCCATTATCATTTACACCTGGCACCCCAAACTTACCTACCACACCCTCTCTAAAAGTTTCTCCTACTTTAGCATTCAAGTCCCCTACCACAATTACTCTCTCACTTGGTTCAAAGGCTCCTATACATTCACTTAACATCTCCCAAAATCTCTCTCTCTCCTCTGCATTCCTCTCTTCTCCAGGTGCATACACGCTTATTATGACCCACTTCTCACATCCAACCTTTACTTTAATCCACATAATTCTTGAATTTACACATTCATATTCTCTTTTCTCCTTCCATAACTGATCATTTAACATTACTGCTACCCCTTCCTTTGCTCTAACTCTCTCAGATACTCCAGATTTAATCCCATTTATTTCCCCCCACTGAAACTCTCCTACCCCCTTCAGCTTTGTTTCGCTTAGGGCCAGGACATCCAACTTCTTTTCATTCATAACATCAGCAATCATCTGTTTCTTGTCATCCGCACTACATCCACGCACATTTAAGCAACCCAGTTTTATAAAGTTTTTCTTCTTCTCTTTTTTAGTAATTGTATACAGGAGAAGGGGTTACTAGCCCATTGCTCCCGGCATTTTAGTCGCCTCATACGACACGCATGGCTTACGGAGGAAAGATTCTTTTCCACTTCCCCATGGACAATAGAAGAAATAAAAAGAACAAGAGCTATTTAGAAAAAGGAGAAAAACCTAGATGTATGTATATATATATATGCATGTGCGTGTCTGTGAAGTGTGACCAAAGTGTAAGTAGGAGTAGCAAGATATCCCTGTTATCTTAGCGTGTTTATGAGACAGAAAAAGAAACCAGTATTTACAAAGTATTTACAGGCCTCAGCAGTGTTTTAGACATGCTGGCATATACATGAAACTTGTTGAAGCATGGTATTTATGAAGAGTGTCACTAAACTGCTGACAGGGCAAGCAGTGGAGGGACACGATAATAGTGCACTGCAGGGAACCCTGGCTTTATTTGTTTTCACTGTTACACACAAACATATATGTCTGTCTGTCTGTCTGCCTGTCTAGCTCTGCCTATCTGTCTTTCTGTCTGCCTGTGTGTGTGTGTGTGTGTGTGTGTGTGTGTGTGTGTGTGCCTGTGTGTCTGCCTGTGTGTTTTGGTCTTTCTATCTGCCTGTGTGTGTTGGTCTTTCTGTCTGCCTGTGTGTGTGTGTGTGTGTGTGTCTTTCTGTCTCGGTCTTTGTCTGCCTGTGTGTGTGTCACTCTTGTCTCTGTCTTAGAGAGTGGCTCATAAACCAACAGATATTACACGATGTGGTAGTCACGTCTGATTCCCGATGAAGTGAAAAATGTGTTACTTGCCACTGAGTTGCCAGTCATGCTTATATCTAAAAGCACTTTGCCTGGAATTTTTGGGTTATCCTAGGTAATTTACACTATGTATAATTGTACTTATGTGTACATGTGAGAGAGAGAGAGAGAGATAGATAGAGATATAGACAGATAGAGATACAGACAGAGAGACAGCCATTGGTATAAAAAATGAAAGGATGTTGCACAAATGTTACACATGGGTTATTATCGAGGTTTTTGATATTTCCTCGACCACTTGTGGCCACATCCATCACTTTCCTCTTAAAAGGAGAGTGTTAATACAACATGACATCAGTGAATCCCTATTTGCTCTAGCTGGCACTCAATTGAACTGGTGCTCCCACAAGTTACTAAGTGGTTCCAGATTTTTTAAATGCTGTGCACACCGAGTGTTAAGACCCATTCTATACTGACCAGGCATCTCAGGCCAATCATGCTAAATTTGGAGGCAGGAAAAATAAAACGTAGTTCCACGTTTGGAGCACTAGCTGTACAAACGTAGATCTATGTTTGGACAGTTTAAGGGTTAACAAAATTGTGTATTAAAGCTCAACATATTTTATATGGAACTTGTATAGTAATTATTCTGTTTCCTTGTAATGCTGCCACCTTTAATTTTTTGACATGGTATGGCCTGTTTGTCATGGTTTGCCATATGTCTGAATTTTACCTTTTTCATGAGTTGTTTATAATAGTGTTATTGGTTTTATGAATCATGCTGGTAATATTATTTCATTTCACATAATCACATTATTAAATAATATGTAGTATATAATGGAATTCAGACCTTTTTTTTTTTTTTTTTTTTAAATTTTAATTGTCCGTAAGTTTGAAATAATCCTTTTGCAAGAATGAAATTTTCCTTGATTATGCTGAATTTAAATTTATAGAAAATTAAATATCGATCCATATAAGGCATATGAATTCACTGAAAAAAAGTATCCTAAAGAAATTTAAGTGCTTGCCCTGAAGTTCACATTAAGATTGATGCTCAAGCATTTTGAGTAGATTCAGTGTTAATTCTTTCTTGGGCTATTTCCCTGCACCCTTGTGGTAACATGCCCAGTTCTCATGATCCAAAATATTATGTTTACATACTGTGTTACTGACACCTTGTTTAACAGGCTGAAAATTTACTAAAGGGGGATGGTTGAAGCAAAGCTTTCAGCCAACCTTATCTAAATATGCCTTTTCTGCCTGTTGTATTCTCTTTCATCCTCAAGGGACCTTTTCTCCATGCAGTACAGTACATATATTTTTTTTTACTTTCAGGAAGTTAGATGTCCTCTCATAACTGGAATGCATAGTTTATCATGACGCTGTAAACACTCCTTGCAAACATTAGTATTTTTCCCAAAATCTATTGTGATTTTCATACCAATTTTTTTCATGTTGCCCCATGTTCAGTTTCACTCACAGGTCAAGGTTAGAAGGCGTGTATTAGTTATTTTCTCACTTCTGTAATTCTTTCCTTGAACCTTATCACCCACCACCCTTGCACAGATGCTGCAGCTCATCATTGAATCCCCCACCCAACATTCAAGTTGCCACAACTGCACTTCACATTATCAGAGACTGACTTACTAACTGGTTTTCTTGAGTTCCATCATAAGCATTGTTATACTGTATGCTATTTTGTTTATTCACCAACAACCTGCTTTGTTCTATAGATCATTCACAAATGTTGAAATACCCTCTATTAACTGAAAGTTTTTACATGATCTCTAATGAATAGATGTTTCAACAGCCGTGGAGATACGACGAGTCAGCTTGAAGATTCAACTTGTACAGAAACGGAGAGTGTTGTGTCCACTCGGAGAGGTGAGCATGGTGCGCATCATCTATTTTTGTTCTCTTTGGTATTTAGATTTTTGTAATAGACTGTGCATTATCCTGAACTTCTAATAACTCTGCTGTTTCAGTATTTATGATAAATCTGACTTTATGCAGATGACTAAAAACACTGTAATTTGGGTACTTAAAAGGCTTATTCTCTTTTTAAGGTTTTTGGTATATTACTAGAATATATTGTCACTTTATTTCTTCTTGTTTTCTGGAATAGTGATGTTGGTATTGAAGGGGTTGTTGAGTGTGTTAGGTTCATTTATGATTTCTTTCATTCATTTATGATTTCTTTCTTCAGAATTATTCATGCAGTTTGATTACAGCTTTTGAGATAATAATTGCTTTATGGTTATGCACTGGATAAAAACAGTTACATTAATACAAATGTACATATGACAGCAAGTGTTTGATTTTGTTGACTGTGTAATCTTTTGTGTGTAAATTTTTACTTGTGTGTGTCCCATAATTTAGTCAGAGAGCAGCTATTGAAAAATGTAATTCTTAAAGTGTAATGTACCTAATATGAATTAATTTTGATAGCACCAAGGGTAAACATTATCTTAATTAAGTTGTGTGTTTTAGCATTGTATTTAAATGAGGGCTCGTCTTGAAACTTGTAACTTGCTTTAGAGGCGTTTGATGTTCGTTAAGTGTTGGAATACAGGACTGCAGATTGTTTATAAATGCAATTATATTGAATTTTGAAAACTTTGCAAATTTTTCTCTTCATTACAGAAATAACCTGCACTTGGAGACTGAAACTTTTGATGTCATATCAGCCCAACTTGGATCATTAACTGGTTACAGTGAGAAATGTAAAGAGAAGGGAGCCAGAATGTATATATTTTGGCTCCCTTTCCTCTGTGCTTGTGTGTGTGCCTAGTTAATGGTTCAGATCAGACTGAAATGTTGTCATAGGTGTGTCTCCTAAGTAAGGGCTATTTTTGTATTGCTCCAGTCACAGTATTGTGCCTTTTTATTTTTTCTCTTCTTGGTAAGAGATAGTGCAATATTTAGTGGCTGCATTGGTGCACCATAATACTTTCAGCATGTCAGATTCAAAATCTTTATAACTAATTATATGTTTTTTAGTATTCCTGGTTAGGAAACCATTATAATTCTTATTTGTTTTTTTATCAACACATCTGTCGGGAAGGGTCCTTAAGTGGAGTACAGGTAGTAAATAATCACTGAGATGGTAAACTGGTATATTGAGAATAGGTAGTAGGAAGCCCAGCCTGCAGTCTTGTCCTGTCTGCCTGAGAGTATGCGTCTAACTGACCACCCCCTCACTGCGGGTGTCTAGCAGTGTTTTGAACTCTGCTGACCTGACAGACAGTATTGGAGTCCGTGGTATCACGGCTAACGTATGTTGAATTATGCTGACACATCGGCCATTTCCCGCCAAAGTAGGGTGGCCCAAAAAAGAAAAACTTTCATCATTCACTCCATCACTGTCTTGCCAGAGGTACGCTTACACTACAGTTATAAAACTGCAACATTAGCACCCTTCCTTCTGAGTGCAGACACTGTACTTCCCATCTCATATTTTTAGACTGCCTCTTTCCATGAACTTGAAACTCGCACCTGTTTATGCTCATAAAATGTAGCGTCCTATCTTTACTAAGCAGTATAGTATCCTAATAGATATTCTTGGATGGAGAATAATTTTAAATACTTTACACTAAATTTGCCAGATGTATGGGGTAGTTTGTCGAAAGTGCAGACTACCAGTAAGAAAGTTTTACTCTAATATTCAGATTTTTGGAATTTTTCATTACATTTTGGGAAATTTAAAGAAGTCTAAATGAATCACTGTAAATTTGGAATATGGAACCTTTCTTGTTATCATTAGTGTTATAAGTGCCAAAAAAGTATAGGTCTGTATAAGCATGCATTATCTAAGAGCAGTATTATATAATTGTGTATTTTATCAGTCTTTTAGCCCTCTAATGAAATTATTTGTAACCAATTCTAGTAAAGTAGACTGCTGATTAACACATGATCTGTTAACATTCTTGCTTTAACACGACGGAAAAATGGCAGCATATTTTTGATGACACACCATGTTTATCATTTAGCACATGGTAAATTTAGGGGAACATATTGGTGGATAAAAGGTTGATGGGTAGGTTCCAGGATGTACATGTTTATAGAGGGGCAACTGATATATCGGATCATTATTTAGTTGTAGCTACAGTTAGAGTAAGAGGTAGATGGGAAAAGAGGAAGGTGGCAACAACAAGCAAGAGGGAGGTGAAAGTGTATAAACTAAGGGAGGAGGAAGTTCGGGTGAGATATAAGCGACTATTGGCAGAAAGGTGGGCTAGTACAAAGATGTGTAGTGGGGGGGTTGAAGAGGGTTGGAATAGTTTTAAAAATGCAGTATTAGAATGTGGGGCAGAAGCTTGTGGTTATAGGAGGGTGGGGGCAGGAGGAAAGAGGAGTGATTGGTGGAATGATGAAGTAAAGGGTGTGATAAAAGAGAAAAAGGTAGCTTATGAGAGGTTTTTACAAAGCAGAAGTGTTATAAGAAGAGCAGAGTATATGGAGAGTAAAAGAAAGGTGGAGAGAGTGGTGAGAGAGTGCAAAAGGAGAGCAGATGATAGAGTGGGAGAGGCACTGTCAAGAAATTTTAATGAAAATAAGAAAAAATTTTGGAGTGAGTTAAACAAGATAAGAAAGCCTAGGGAAAGTATGGATTTGTCAGTTAAAAACAGAGTAGGGGAGTTAGTAGATGGGGAGAGGGAGGTATTAGGTAGATGGCGAGAATATTTTGAGGAACTTTTAAATGTTGAGGAAGAAAGGGAGGCGGTAATTTCATTCACTGGCCAGGGAGGTATACCATCTTTTAGGAGTGAAGAAGAGCAGAATGTAAGTGTGGTGGAGGTACGTGAGGCATTACGTAGAATGAAAGGGGGTTAAAGCAGCTGGAACTGATGGGATCATGACAGAAATGTTAAAAGCAGGGGGGGATATAGTGTTGGAGTGGTTGGTACTTTTGTTTAATAAATGTATGAAAGAGGGGAAGGTACCTAGGGATTGGCGGAGAGCATGTATAATCCCTTTATATAAAGGGAAAGGGGACAAAAGAGATTGTAAAAATTATAGAGGAATAAGTTTACTGAGTATACCAGGAAAAGTATACGGTAGGGTTATAATTGAAAGAATTAGAGGTAAGACAGAATGTAGGATTGCGGATGAGCAGGGAGGCTTCAGAGTGGGTAGGGGATGTGTAGATCAAATGTTTACATTGAAGCATATATGTGAACAGTATTTAGATAAAGGTAGGGAAGTTTTTATTGCATTTATGGATTTAGAAAAGGCATATGATAGAGTGGATAGAGGAGCAATGTGGCAGATGTTGCAAGTAGATGGAATAGGTGGTAAGTTACTAAATGCTGTTAAGAGTTTTTATGAGGATAGTGAGGCTCAGGTTAGGGTGTGTAGAAGAGAGGGAGAATACTTCCCGGTAAAAGTAGGTCTTAGACAAGGATGTGTAATGTCACCATGGTTGTTCAATATATTTATAGATGGAGTTGTAAAAGAAGTAAATGCTAGGGTGTTCGGGAGAGGGGTGGGATTAAATTATGGGGAATAAAATTAAAAATGGGAAGTGACACAGTTACTTTTTGCTGATGATACTGTGCTTATGGGAGATTCTAAAGAAAAATTGCAAAGGTTAGTGGACGAATTTGGGAATGTGTGTAAAGGTAGAAAGTTGAAAGTGAACATAGAAAAGAGTAAGGTGATGAGAGTATCAAATGATTTAGATAAAGAAAAATTGGATATCAAATTGGGGAGGAGGAGTATGGAAGAAGTGAATGTTTTCAGATATTTGGTAGTTGACGTGTCAGCGGATGGATTTATGAAGGATGAGGTTAATCGTAGAATTGATGAGGGAAAAAAGGTGAGTGGTGCATTGAAGTATATGTGGAGGCAAAAAACGTTATCTATGGAGGCAAAGAAGGGAATGTATGAATAGTACCAACACTCTTATATAGGTGTGAAGGTTGGGTTGTAAATGCTGCAGCAAGGAGGCGGTTGGAGGCAGTGGAGATGTCCTGTCTAAGAGCAATGTTTGTGGTGTAAATATTATGCAGAAAATTCGGAGTGTGGAAATTAGGAGAAGGTGTGGAGTTAATTAAAGTATTAGTCAGAGGGCTGAAGAGGGTTTATTGAGGTGGTTTGGTCATTTAGAGAGAATGGATCAAAGTAGAATGACATGGAGAGCATATAAATCTGTAGGGGAAGGAAGGCGGGGTAGGGGTCGTCCTCGAAAAGGTTGGAGGGAGGGGGTAAAGGTGGTGTTGTAGGTGAGGGGTTTGGGCTTCCAGCAAGTGTGCGTGAGCGTGTTAGATAGGAGTGAATGGAGACAAATGGTATTTGGGACCTGACGATCTGTTGGAGTGTGAGCAGGGTAATATTTAGTGAAGGGATTCAGGGAAACTGGTTATTTTATATAACTGGACTTGAGTCCTGGAAATGGGAAGTACAATGCCTGCACTTTAAAGGAGGGGTTTGGGATATTGGCAGTTTGGAGAGATATATTGTGTATTTTTATACGCATATACTTTTAAGCTGTTGTATTCTGGGCACCTCTGCAAAAACAATGATTATGTGTGAGTGAGGTGAAAGTGTTGAATGATGATGAAAGTATTTTCTTTTTGGGGATTTTCTTTCTCTTTGGGTCACCCTGCCTCGGTGGGAGACGGCTGACTTGTTGAAAAAAAAAAATATGTATAATAGCATCATTGGTACTTTTTTTTCGGTCTGAACCCAAACTGACAAGGGTTGAGTATGTTGTGGGATACAAAGTAGGAGTAAACTTGTTTGTGAATTAATTTTTCAAAGATTTTAGATAGAAGGGGTAGGTTTGATATAGGCCTATAATTGTTCAGTTCAGTTGGATCATCTAGTTTGAGGATCAGGGTGACTTGCTGTCTTGAGTATGGATGGCAAGGTGGAAGATTCATTGGATTTGT